GGGGCCTATGATGACTTGCCAGGGGTCCATGAGAGCGAAAAAAAAATTGGGGGGGGGGGGCCCATGAGAGGTGTAACTGTGGTTCTATTAAACCAAATTTTAAAGGAAAATTTAATCAAGTGGAAGCCAAATTTTATACAAATTTAACAGATTTATTTACTAAATTGAATGAAGTTAATTTGCACTTACAAGATGAAAGCAAGGAAATTTATTTTAAGAAGAACCACTTCAGAGCGATTTTTTTTCCAGAATTGAGCTAAAGAAGTATAATACAGGAGGTCCCATATTTTCTCAGTTTCTGAATTTGTCAGGACGTTTTAACCAACGTTCAACACTTAATTTTTTTATTCAAGTTTTGGAACAAGGTTGGATAATGATTTGACCATTATGATACTACAGTAGGAAATGAATTCATTTGGTCACACTGAAAAAAATATCACATTACAATAGAAATTGATAGGGATAATCACAAAAGAGTAAAGAATAAAATTTAGAATGTCAGCAAAATTTTGACTTTAAAAAGACAAACCTATTATTTTCCCCGGATAACAAAATATCGTAAGTTTTTAATTGCTTTTCCTGGTGAGAATGAGTTTCAGCGCGGTAGCCACACAATCTACAAAACAAAAACAAAAAATAAGAAAGAAAAAAACTAGAAACTATACTAACAGTGGAGATTTAAAGTTAAACCTGAAAAGATTGATAATAAATGTTAAAAATGTGTTATTGCAGCATCAAATTCATCCCTTCCATTAAAGTCATTTGTTTTTTGTTTAGTTATTTTATGTATTGATTAACTTTTAATGTAATCAATTAACATGTGCTCTTTTTAAGTTTTAAACACTATATTTCATTACTATTAAAAAATTAATTCTTTTAAAGAAGTAATAGTACCTGCTGTCAAAAACACATTTAAGTTGATAAATTTGTAAAAATTCGATATTAATTAAGCAGGTGGCGATCCCAAACCGAAAAACATGGCAAGAAGACTGTGGGACAATAAACTTTTAGACAGAAAAATGAACAGGCAGAATCTCTATATAGACAGAAAGAAACCCGAATTTAAGAGGATAGACCATTGTTACAGATGTAAAATTTTGTATTACTTTTATCCCTAGCTCTTCACAAGTGTAACGTTTCAGCAAGGATCCTTTGGAAGGAATTTTCATGATTTGGTTACACAAAATAACTGCATGATCACATTCCAAAACCTGTTTAAAGGGAATTGAATCTTAACAGAAATGCTAATCTCTCTCTTTAAAAGAGTGCTACGTAGCAACCTGAAACAATATTGCATTAGTCACTGGATCTGACCAATCAGCATGCTAATATTAGGAAATCATGTGAATAACGAATTTACTAGAAACTACCTTGGTATGGGAATATAAGCTGATCTTTGGATTGAAGAGATAATGCTTTTTTTTCTTCGTCATAAGCTTTGAGCATGTGTTTTATTCAAATTTTATGTGTAGTGTGCTATATATGTTTATATACTACAGATGAATCTATAAGTCAGTTCTATCTATCGTCTGATGTCAAGTCAAAACAAATATTTCTTACATAATGAAAAGAAAGAAAAAGTAAAAGTACATTTTAAAAATGTTTGTTTTTATTTCATCATATACGATTAACTTTATCACTGAAAATAATTATAACAGTTTTATATATAATTGTGTAGCTCCGAATCTTATAATATCTATTTATTCCGCCTCTTAGAGAAACTTGCTATTTACTTATTATATCATCGACCCATTTCGTCAAATCAAAAGGCATCATCAAATGCCAAGATATACAGCAAAAATTTAAACCGTTCCCGTTCGTGTACGAAAACAAGAAATAATAATTACATTTGCTGGCATTTTTTGAGCCAGCGATGTCTTCTCGTAGGGCGAAATTGATCGATGGTATAATACGTACATCCCAGAAATTCACTATGAATATTTGAAATAAAAGAAATACAAGTTTTTATTTATTTGAATTTTGAATTCATTTATTCTGTTCCGTAATTAACTTTTATTTTTCTCATGGAGCTGTCATTGGTATTTTAACCTTTATAGAACCCAATACATTTCCCAGGAGCTGGTATCATTTTTTAGCACGGCACCATATAGGCTATAACAATCACCGCAAGTACTTTTGACGCCACGTTTCCTCCCCAGAGGTCTTGGCGATGCGAACTTGTACCAGGATTTAATTTTGCCCACGCCAAACAGACACTCTAGGGCTGCTGTCGATTTTCTGCTTAATGAAGATCTACCGACTTGAGCCGGGGTTGAACCCGTAGCAAACCAACCATACCACCCAGGCAACCGATAATTAACTGCGCTGAAACCTCTAATTATTTACCCTAACTCCATGCCTATATTCTCAGCCAAATTTGTTCTTATAAAATATGTTATCTCTACAGAAATATTTATCCTTCGGTAAGTAATCAGACTTTTCCAGAAATTTAACATGGATTGACCGGATTGCTTACTTAGGAATTTTTAGATAAAAAGCTAAGGGTTTTTTTTTCCCTTCTCAGTCTTCATTATCTATCTCATTCATTCCCAATTTAAAAAATATTGAATCAGGAAACTCTCTTAATAGTTTATATAAACATTTATGCGCGCTTCCTACTAATTGTTTGATGAAAATCCGGGATTTCACTAAAAGATTAAACAAAAGAATATGTTAGAAACTAATAGGTTGAGTGTCCCACGTGTTCCTAATTTGCGTACTGATAAAATTATATCACGAAGAAAATCTGATTCTTAGCTTAATTATTAATCCTAAATATCCTTCACGTTTTTTTATTCTAAAAAATTGTTTCTTGGTAGATTTTGCAATTAAAATGTGGGCGTGTTCATTCAATTTCTAATGAACTTAACTGAGTTCCCTTAGATTTTTCAGAATTTATTGCTGGTGTCAGATTCACTTCTTACAATTGTTTTAATTACATCGTAATGTTTTCAATGAAAGTTTGCCTTTTTCACATTGTTTTCAAGTTTTAAAGCAGACTATTAAAATTTAAGATTATATATCAAACATTTTAGATTGATGTAATAATGGATGCTCATACTTCATGGTAGATATAATTATTATATCAACACCTTATGAGCTGTTACGAGTGTAT